ATAATCATAATGTTATAACTATATTTCAATCGTATATAATGTTTATTAATACTTTTATTATTAATTAATTGACACTTGTAATAATATATTTATTTTTATAATAAATGATGTTGTTTTATTTACATTCTTCTCCAATCGTGCTTATAAGCAAATTATTTATATATATTATTATTTTCAACATAGGATTTACTTACTAATACATCTTTATAAATTATTGAGTAAACAATGATTTTGGGAATATTTTCCATTTATAATTCAGCAAGCTAAATGTTAGAACAGTATGTGAGCAATTTGTCAAATGATTCGAAAATTAATTTTACGTCTTACATCTTATTGGTAGAATATCAAAAGAAATCTACTAATATAACAGAATCTCCTAAGTATTGGGTTGTCCGGAAAGTTCGTGTCGACTAATCTATATAATTTAATAAATGTATACTAAAATTTAAATCTTCTGCGTTTCAATTTTTCTTCAAAATCGGCACAAACTTTCCGGACAACCCAATACATAGTAACAGAAACCGCGGAGTAAAATCTATCATTTTGTAATTATATAAATGATATCTTCTATTTAAATAATTACAATAATAATACAATTCTAAATGAATAGGCAACTTAAATGACAGTGTGCCGGAAAAAAGGGAAATCTGAATATCGATAATGTTCAAACTGGTTACAGATCGTACAGAAGTATCGAGCGCATGACATGTGCTCTTTATTTTTTTCAACAACGATTGACCATTGTCAGATGCGTATGTAGACAAGTGTCGATTAGATTGCTAAGGAAAATTATGCAAAGTTTACAAAAAAGGATGTTAGAAATTCTATTGTAAGTTTTCTGATAGGATCATATTCTACTGACCGACCTAATCTCCATTCTGAGTTCCCTTGCATCCACATTATGCAAAAGTGGAGCATACGACCGGAGGCGGTAAGTGTTATCATGTTGAAAATCTGGAGACGTCAAATTGGAAAAATTATAAGAAAGAAAACACAATAAGGCAGAGTTAAACCCTACTGAAAAAAATCACATTACAAAGTTACATAACGAAATCAAAACAAGTAAATCTCGTAACTAATTGTTTCAAATCAGTACATGATTTTTTAAAATCATGTAATTTGAAAAATCACATGATATTAGAAATAATTTTCTCTATTATATGATTTTATAGTTATCGAATTTTAAATAATTAAATATGTATATATGTAAATATGTATATATATAAATAATAATTAAATATGTATATATGTAAATAATTATATATAAATATATGAATTTTAAATGATAAAAATAAAGAAAAAACATAACGTGTGACTTTTCAAATTATGTAATTTGAAAAATCATGTACTGATTTGGAATAATCAGTTGTGTCATTTACTTGTTTTAATTACATATATGATTTCGTTATAAGTATTACTATGTGACGTGTTTCTTTCAGTAGGGAGTACTTCGCATTTTTTTCGATCGAAATATAAGTGTGAAATATTTTTGAACAGTAATTTTTTGAGAGAGACGTTACAATTTTATAAGAAAAGGTTAGATATTTTTTATATTTGAGTATATATTGATTCTCTTTGCTTTTATTGATCATATATGTCTTTAGAAGTTTACATAATAACATTGTACTTATTAGAATGTCAATATCCTGTTAATATTTGTGATCTTTCGAAGTGTTAAGATCGTAATGTGACTTACAAGTTTTTGGCATTAACGATGTATTAATAATTTAACTAATTATTGAGCAGGATTACATTTTTATTGGCATAAAACTTTAGTTTATATGGTAAGTCTTTAAAAACAAAACACCTACTTTTTTGTGATTTGCAAAGATACATACAGGACACGAACAACTTTATTTCCAATCAAACTATTTTTATCAATTATCGAAATTGTTGATTCCTTTTTTAAGTATAAAATTTTATATTTTATATTTTTATTTTTTCTATATATTGTTTAAAATGTAAACTATATTTTTATTCTTTTTATATTATACTCAACTGATATAAAGATTATTTCAGCAATATATAATTTCAGCAGCATATATTTTAATATTTCAAAATTATAATTTGAGTCAAAAATCTTTTTATTACTTATAGTATCAAAATAGATATAAAATAAATGTGAAATTCCATGTCGTACGATTATTCGTTAGTTGTTCATTTAACTGAAATAATAGTAATAATAATAAATCTGATAATAATGAATAATAAATGGAACAATATGTGCATAAATATATGTCGAATTGTCATCAGACATTAGTAGTAATTCATCTTGCTTGAGAAAATGATATCAAATCTTTATAAATTGCTGCCTGATTCTAAATTTCTAAGTTCGAAGTATTAAGAAATTAATGAAGTTAATTTTTAATTATATTTATTGTGATATGCGAAAAATAATCCATTAAAATATTAACAATTTTAACTTAAAAAAATGAACACAAAAACGAAGTAATAGTTAATTTAGCACACGTTCACATATGCTTCATACCCAAAAACAAATTTTCTACAAAGTTATTAAAAATGTATATAAAAAATGTATACTTTTATACTTTTTTCATTATTTTCATTTGAATTTTTATAAATTAAATTAATGATTAACACAACTGTATTTCAAAGAATAGTACAAAGCTATTATAAATTTCTCTCGGTATAAATGGAATACACATTAAAATCTATGATAAAAATTCCTGCATAGTTTTGATACATTTTCTTATCAAAAAGCATGATATTCTGTTTATATTTGTCATTTTTCTAACAAAAAGTCATTACTTTGCAGAAATATTTAAAATAAAAACAGTCATGGGCTTTGTAAAAGCGTTATGTTTAATAATTTTTTTCATAATTATTTATGATTTCATAAATAAAAGTTATTTCATGAAAAATGAGAAAAACGAATTCCGTTCTGCAGTTGAACAAATTAATCGTTTACCAACATATATAGTACCCACGAATTATAACATCAAATTGATACCATACTTTGAAAAGAATTATACTACTTATACATTAGGAGGCGAAATTAATACCAGGATTCATATTCATAAAAAAACGCGATATATATATTTACTCGAATATTTTTTATTTATATCTGACACACCCACATTGATCAACGAGAATAACGGCAATATCTATTTATTATGGCAACAATATACATATTATAATCCTATAACGCATATATTAAAATTTTATCTTACCCAGGATCTCTTGCCCGGGTTCTATATTCTGAATATAAAATTCTATAGTATGTCGGTTCTTCCCAAGGAAAATAACTTCAAAATTTCATATATAAATAGAAGACCAGATGTAATGTGAGTAAACATTAAGAGATTAAAAACTCACTATTATATATTGACACACATGTACATTTTCCAGTTCCTAATATTTTTTAATTAATTACACTAGTTTGAAAATGAGACTTTAGAAAGTCTACTGATTTATAAGAGTGATTAATTCTGATGTAATTTTTTAAATTGCATTCGAATGTGGCCAAAATTATTTAGCATATCAAGATTTTGAGATATTCTATAAACTAAAAGTGTAAAAATGGCTATTTAGACATTCAAAATCCAATGTGGCGGTTCAAAGCTTAAAAAATCGTTATAATTAAGTTTTTACTTTTTTGAATTAAGCTTTGAATCGCCATATATATTGGATTCGCCATTTTAAATTTCGATTATAAATTCAGCGACTCAAAAACCTCGAGCAACTCAATTATAATATAAAGTGTAAAAATAATTGGCCATTAAAGCATTCGGTGCTTACCTACTAAAGAATATGAAATGCATTAATATATAATTTATTTTTGCTGTTGCAAATTTCTGTGGCCAGATTTAAATTCAACGCAAGAAGTTACATCGAAAACCACTCCTACATCTCAGTCGACCAAATCTCAGGTCTATATTATTATATTATTGAAAATATCTTATTATTTTTTATTAAAATTGTATTGCAGGTGGTTAAACGCAGTGCATTTTCAACCAATTAGAGGCCGACGATTATTTCCATGTTGGGATGAACCAGCATTTAAAGCCACTTTTAACATTTCCATATTACATCATGAAAATTATATGGCTTTGTCGAATATGCCGATTCAAAATTTAGAGTTTGTGGGTAATAATATGGTTTGGACACATTTCCGCACTACTCCGTTAATATCAACGTATCACGTGGCAATTGTGCTGACTAATTTTCCCTCTCATCGTATTAACGCAAATACCTCCAAACATCAAACTATATGGTGCAGAACATATTCTGCACAATATACACAATTTGCGGAGAATATATTTGAAATTGTTACATCGCATTTAGGAATCAGGTGGAATAAAAAAATTGCAAAATTAGATCACGTTATTCTTCCAGAATCTAAAAATATGTGGAATTGGTATTTGCGAGATGGCATGTCGCAATGGGGACTTATTTTTTATAGGTAATATGCATACATACATTATTAAGATAGAAAGAAGAGAAGATATTAATATATTAATATTTTTATTTTATCCAAAATTGGTTTAATGGCAAAAAGTACAAGCAAACATTAACATTTAAAATTTATTAAAAAATATTTTTATATTTCTCATTTTTTGTAACGGAAACTGACGAAAGTAACGCGTTACATTGTTACCGTTATAAATTATTTTTTTAATAACTGATAAAGGTCTTATTTTTTTCAATTATAATAACAATGTTATAATAACAATGTTTTTAATAATGGTAACGAAATTTATACAGAATTATGTTTATCATTACTTTTTATTTATTGAACATATTTATAACATTTTTATATATTCAACATATTAATGACACAATTTTTTATTACATTATATTCAATCTTCAATCTTGGACTCCCTGCTAAAAAACTTCGATAGAATAAGATAAGAAAAAATTATCTGATTGATTATATTTTTGGTTCGTAGATTACTGAAATATTTATATAAATTTTTGTGAAATATTATTATGTATGTACAAAGCTTGAACCGAAAAATCATTTTGCTTCTTATCTGTTTCCCTATATCAGTCTAATATCATTATTGGTTATCGCTTTATTAATATTTAAAGAAAAAATAAGACAAAATTTTTTAGACTTTTTTATTTCAGTTAAAAAAGTAACGAAACAACAATGAACTGTTACATTTTAAGTAACGGTAACGAGTTACTTTTGAGAATCAGTGACTTAGTAATGGTAGTTACTATTTTGACACGATAATGAGTATTAACGGTAACTAGTTACTTTTAAAATTAACTTATCATTCTTTGATGGGAACTTAACATAATTATATTATTTATAAACGATTCTTAGAGAAACGAGAGTTTTATACAATGAAGTAATAGATCCTCCTTCACGTAAAATAGAGATTAAGCGATTAGTAACACATGAAGTAGTACATCATTGGTTGAGTAATCTGGTCAGACTGTCTTGGTGGTCTTATTTATGGATAACCGATGGTATTGCAGGATTATTTGCAGCAAATGCCATTAATGAGGTTGCTTTCTTATTTACATGTATCTTGGCATTAGAGAGTTAATGTAATTGCAAGAAAATTAGAGGATATTTAAAAAAGAATATTTCTTGATTCGATATATAAAATTTGAATTTTGCAAATCTTTTAGTTGTTAAAAATAGAATATCGACTATTCAAATTTTTCCTAATTTTTGTAAAATCTGAAATATAAGAAAAGCTAGAAAAGCATATTTAAATCAAAATAATAAGTTAAAGTTAATGGTGATACAAAATGTAAAATTATTTATAATACATTACAATAATAATTACAATAAATGTAATGTTTTTTTGCATTATATGTAGATATTGCAGTTAATAATGTAAATAGCTAAATAAATGCGTCTTTAGAAGATAACTTTCAGGCGTCTTTAACGCCTGTAAAGTCAACATGCATCTTGTGATATAAAGATGCATGTTGACTTTATGAGTTATTACGCCGAGCCTTTTCTGATTGAATATTCATTTAATTCACATTAAGAATCATTATGTCTAGATGTTTCCAGATTCTCGGATATCAGATTTATTTGTAGTTCAGATCCAACATGATTCTCTTAATTTGGATACTCATTCCCTTATGAAACCTCTTCACCAAGAAATTAATGACATTGCTGATATTGATTTACTTTTTACCTCCGTTTCTTATATCAAAGGTAAAGTTGAATAAATAACTCCATAAATTTTCTCACACACACACACACACACACACACACGCGCGCGCGCGCGCGCACCCACGCACATACGCACAGCACACGCACGCACGCACGCATTTATATTTTCTCTTTATCTTTCTTCTAAATATAAATGCGAGAAAAAGACTTATGGTCTTAAAGAAATTTATCTATTTTCTTTATCTTACAATGTATAATTAATTCTGTATGAAAATGAAAAAAATATTAAAACTTACAATAAATTATTTTAAATTAGAAATTAATTAAATTCGACAAATTTCCGCTGTACGAATGTACTATATTCATTTTAAATATTTCTTATAACATTTTATGTCATAAATCTTTAGCACCTGTTATATTTCGCATGTTTGAACATATGCTTACTGATGTGATATTTTGGAAAGGGATCAATAAATATTTAAATATGGAGTGAGTAGTGACTTCAAATATAATTATAATAGAAATTAATTCATCTTATATGACATTATTACTTTATTCTGAGGTACATTTAATATACAAGCGGCTCATTATATTGATTTAGTGCTAATGGATTTCAACTTTTAAATCTTAGATCGAGTTTTAGTCATTCTGTAAAAAGCGTCTACTTAAAATAAAAAGTTGTATAAATATCCTTTATTTATAATTAGTTATTATAGTGTAAATTATATACTATACATTGCATAAAAAACAGATCAATTACATATTAATTATATAAAACTGATTGTAATTTATTATAATATTTGATCAATTAAATTTTAAAGATTTAGTCAACTTAGCTCTGCAAATTCTGGTTATGATTTATGGATGGCTATGCAAATTACTCAAATTAAATCGAGTTCTAAATATCTGCCTAACTTAAGAAACATAATGAGTAAATGGACAACGACAAGTCAGTACCCTGTAGTAAACGTGATTCGAGAGAGCCGAAGTGGCAATATAATAATATCACAGGGAAAAAACACATGGTGGATACCTATAACTTACACTACACAAACAGAACTCAATTTCAATGACACTGTGCCTCGCCATTGGCTAACACCAAATGTTCAGCAAATAATTATTTCAAATATTACACAATTTGATTGGATTATATTTAACTTGCAACAAACTGGTAAGTATTAACTAATAACTTTGTGAATTAATGTATTTGCTTCTATAATCATAATTTAATTTTAATATTTTTATTTTTAATATATTATTATTAATTTTGATATTATTATTTGTTTCTTATTAATGCTAATTTGGAGTATTTACAAAAACATAATATTATAATATTCTGTAAGATTTATCTCTAACACATAAAATGTGTTTTATTTTTTGTATATTACATTTGTGTATATGTGGCGTACAGAAATTATTTCCCCCGTAT